TTTTTTTTTTTGAGGGTAGTTTGAAAGGTCGAGGAGCTCACTTTCTAGGCTGTCAAAACAATAAAGAAGCTCGAGGATCTAGGGGACACCTGCATGTTGGATGTGGTCAGCAGGCTGGGGGGAAGCCTCCCACCGGCCTGCCCCTTCTCACCTGGGTATAAGGTGAGGCCCATTGTGCACGGAGGTGAGAAAGTATAAAGCAAGACGTGTCCAGGTGCTAACAATGAACAGAATATATAAGCAGTCAAGAGGCCACATTATAAGAGATATAAAATATTTCTGGGTTTTAAAATTCAGAACATAGAGCAAAGGAAGAAAATCGCTCGCCATTTATCGGGATTTTTTTTTAAGTTGAAATCTGTATCCAAAAGCAGGGAAAAGCCATTCAAATGGAATTTGTTAAAAGAGCTCCTCTTATGTGTACTTGCTTTCAGAAGAAGCAAAATGTGTTGCCAAGAGGAACATAAAATGGTCAAAGCAGCTCTTACCAATCACAAATGGCCATAACCACAAATATGGCAAGACAGCCGCGTGCTAAGCCGAGCACGTAAAACACACTTTTTATTTTTACAGACGTTTGTAAAAGGCAAGTAAGCACGAAACATGCTCATGGACCAGCTTAAAGTAACGGAAGAGCTTACTAGAAAATTTAATTTTGTTAATGTTTATTCTTGAGATAGAAAAATTTTAAATCTTAAAGGAAGCTGGCCTTTTCTTTCAGGGCTGAATCTTCAATCAGAAAAGCTATAGCTATTTCAGAACCTGGGACGTACGTTTGGGGCGTTTGGAGGTTGCGAGCCTAGGAGTGTGTGACTATTTCAACAGCTCTAAGCTGCCTTAAAACTTTTTTTTTTTTTTTTTTTTTTTTTTTTACATTTTTGGATCTCCAAAGTCTGGATGCATCTTCCAGCTCATGCTAATTTCACTGGCAGCTGATCCTGAAATAATATCGTGGTTTGCAGTCAACGGCTCCTCAGGATGGTCTGAGGCCACGCACGCCGTGGCTGGCAGAGGGGCCCTGGCAGGATGAGGCCGTGGGACTGAAATCCAGCTCACGGTCCACTTGCTAGACATAGTGCTCGCAGCCTGGGTCCAACCAAAGGGGGTTTTGTTTTCTACTTTGTACTGAAGTGCCTCAGAGGCTCCTAACTTCCCTGAGCCTGTCCACCCCCTGCTCCCCCAAATTCAGTCCTCCTGCACTCGAGACACAACCGCCAGGACTCTAGTCCGGCGTGGCAAGATGGCCGACGGTCCCGGTGCGCCTGTGCCCTTCCGCCCCCCCCCGGAAGTCAGATCCTTTCACACAACACTTCCGGTGTGCCTGTTCCTTACGCCGTGCCCTCCCCCGGAAGCCGGCGCTCTTCACACAACGTACCCACTCGCAGCTTGAAGTCATTGAAGGAGTGTTTGTTGATAGCGTCCAGCTTCCCCACCAGGGCAAAGGCAAACTCCACCATGGTGCCGATATGCATGTACTGCCTCTCGGGCTCCTGAGAGGAAACAAACACACGCACGTGGGGTTAGAGGTCAACCGGCAGGGAAACGGTCCCTTGGGTCACAAACCTGGGCTCCAGGCAGACAGCAATGCTTGAGGTCAAGGGCCGCAATGCCCGGAAGACAGGCGTGTGTGAGGATTACCCATCCTCCCAAGGGGACCCTGTGTCCCGGTTCATTCTTGTGGCCGCGGGCAGACCTGAGACGCTGGAAGACACGGAATGGGACCTATGTCGTCTTAACCCAGAAACTGCCGGCAGAAGACACTTCGAGGAGGGGCTGGGTCCTGGTTCTCCGCTTGCCCCGCATACCTGTCTCCCCCGTTCTCCGCTGGCCTCTGGCTCCGAGGGTGACCTCTGACCCCTGCGGGACTGGCTAATGGGAGGGCCAGGGAAGGTCAGGGAGAGCAGGGCAGAGAGGTCGGGGTCCTTTCCTCCCCTTCCCTACTCCACACCTGCCACACGGCTCACCTCGGTTCTGGAAACACCCCATCTTCCCTTTTAGGGGAAGGGTGTTATGTGTCTCCCCCCTTCTCCCAAATTCATAACCTCCGAATCCTCAGTATTTGCTTTGCAGCTTCTCATGGCTATCATTAAATAAGAGATTAGGATCCAATGAGGGATTAGTGACGAATCCAGCATGACTTGGTGCCCTTCTAGAAAGAGGAGATTAAGACACACAGAGAAGGCGACACGAAGAAGCAGGGGAAAGATGGCGTCTAGGAAGCGAGGACAGAGGCTCAAGAGACACCAACCCCATCTGCACCTGATCTCTGACCTCTAGTCTCCAGACGTTTCTGTTGTTTAAACCGCCCAGGCTGTGGTGCTGTTACAGCAGCCGGAGCCCGCGGATACAGGGAGGTAACGATTTCCTGCCTTTACTGTCCCTGGGGGATTTATCGCCCCTTGAGGAATAGTTATCAAACACATAGAGCTGGAGGAAAAGACCAGTTCAAGGCTCCCAGTGAAGGTAAGTGGGAATCTGTACTCCCATTTACTACTAATTTCTATTTCTATTTCTATTTCTATTGCTATTTCTGTTACTAATTTATATTTACTATTAATTTGTAACACCTATTATATTTGTATTTCCTTTTGAAAGTCACCTTTGTAAAATTTCTATTTTGGGTTATTTTATAAACACAGGTTCTTTACTATTATATGCGTATAACTCATAAAATGTGTTTACATGTCCGAAAGGTTCCCGCTGCCCCAATATTTAACGACTGGGCACACCAAGAAGGGGCGTGAGATGCAGTCCCAGCGCTGGCCTGCATCTGTGGCTTGTGGTTTAGAATCAGTGCGGTCTTTTATTTCCCTCACTCGTCTGTGAGCTCCCCAAGGGCACAGACTATGTTCTATTAATCTGCGTCTCCACAATATGAAAGTGTCTGGCCCAGGAGAGGCACCTGATACGTGTTTATTGAGAGACTGCATTTAGATCGCCGGTCGGGTAGCCGAGAGGAAGTGCGGAGGAGGAAGGAAGAGCCTTGCCGAGCTCTGGTGGAAGGTCATTGCCGACTGATGCTCGTTTGGGAAACATACACCCGGGGCGGGGCGGGGGGGGGGCACTGACGCACCCACTGAAGTGGGGGAGGGCTCAGAAGAGGACACAGGGTATTCAAGTGGGAAGACGGAGAGCAGCCTCAGCCGGCTGGGGGAGGAAACAAAATCAGTAAGGATGCTAGAAATACTTGAGAGAAGAGCAGGAGGGGCGGCCCTTTGTGGAGCTCAAGTGTTTGATCCCACAGGGGGCCCCAGCAGAGCAAACTCAGAGAGAGAGAGAGAGCTCTCAAGACGGTGAAAGGGGAGGGACGTGGTGACCATGGGGCGCATTCACCATGGAGGGTGAAACCAGCAACCAGCTCTGAGGGTTTCAGGAGGGATGAGGGAGGAGGACAGTGGAGACAGGGGATGTGTCCTGCACCCTGAAGGTGACAGGGGCATGGAGAAAACCAAGGTAACGGCCAAAGGAGAAAGGAAAATGACAATGGGGTTATTCCCCGAAGGAGTCAGGAAGGGTAGCACCAGGCAAGTCTCTCGATGTGAACACTGATGACACCTGAGTCGGATCATTCTTTGTCCCGGGGCCGCGTCCTGCGCCCTGCAGGATGCCGAGTGGCACCCGTGGACTCCTCCGAGAGATGCCCCCTTCCAGGACTGACAAGAAAAAATGTCCCCAGACACTGCCCAATGGCCCCGAGGGGCAAGCAGCTGGCCGCTGAGATCACTGCACTAACTAACATAAACACGAGCAGAGGACTCACTGAGAACGTTCGTTCTTCCTCTCCTTGGAGAAATCCTATCATTCCAGAGAAAGACCGATGAAACGCTACTGTTGCCACAAATCCTCAACTTAAAAATTGCGAGAGAAAATCCACACAATTTAAACAACTGGAACTATGGAACACACTGCCAGCTAACGTCGGTGAAAATGCCGCCATTTCTTTTTTTTTTTATTACAGTTTTTTAATTTGAGCGAGAGAGGGGGAGAGAGAATGAGTGGGGAAGAGAGGCAGAGGGAGAGAGACAGAGAATCTCAAGCAGTCTCCGTGCAGAGCCCGACACGGGGCTCGATCCCACAGCCCTGGGACCGTGACTTGAGCTGAAATCAAGAGTCAGACGCTCAACAACTGAGCCATCCAGACGCGCCACAGAGTCATTGCTTGACAACGGTTCTGCTCTTCTATCAGAGCTCGCTAATGTTTCTGGTCTCGTGACCCACGGGGACGGTGTGATTGGGAAGTTCATGCCTCCAGTCCGTTGGAAACATCTTGCTCCTAAACAGGAAGCACAGGGGCTCCTGGGGGGCTCAGCTGGCTAAGCGTCTGACTCTTGGTTTCAGCTCAGGTCATGATCTCATGGTTCGTGGGTTCAAGCCTGGCTTCGGGCTCTGCGCTGACAGTGTGGAGCCTGCTTGGGATTCTCTCTTATCTCCCTCTGTCTCTGCCCCTCCCCTGCTCTCTCTCTCTCTCTCTCTGTCTTTCACACACAGACACACACACACTCTCTAAAACAAAATAAACTTAAAAAAATAAACTGGAAGCACGAACTCTTAAATCAACAGGCAGAATCCTGTGAACATCACGACTGTTCCAGCAAGGGGGACAGATTTGCCACAGGGGGGGAAATGGTTTGCTTTCTCCTGAACCATGGTAAGACAAACCAGCTTCCTCCCCTGATAAATGATCACCCAGTCTGTTTTCATGCAGCGGGCGTAAGCTGGAGGTTTTACTTGACCTCCCTGATGAATGAAGAGATTGAGTTCTGGGAGTGGGGTTTAAATCCAACGTCCGTAACTTGTTCGGGCTTAGTAAACCCTGGAAAAAGTTATGCTCGGTCTCAAGAAGAGCTCAGTTCGTTTCAAGAAGTCTTTATAACTGAGCTTTTGATAAATATTTGATGACAGTATAAAGCAGCTCTTTCTCCCACGACCCAAGTGATTTCTGTGAGACGTCTCCAAATATTTAACCGACTTCCAGGGACATGGCAGTAGACACATTGAGCTCCCGGAACACATCTTGCGAGCCGTTTGCTTTGGAAATTCCACCAGCAAGGAACCCTGCTTAAGTACATGCGTCTTTACTGAGGTTGTTTTGTAACTCAAGTGCCTGTTTGGTAAACACCGAATTTTTTTAGGCTGAAATTAACGTACACCTTGCCTCCTTCCTTGACCTCTCTTCTCTCCTCCCTTCTCTTCGTCCACCCAGCAAACATTCACTGTGCCCCTGCTGTGGTGGTATCTACCTCATGCTGAAGGTTTACAACCACTGCCCAGGAGCTGTTCTCCCACTTGAGGCCCCTGGGAGATCCCCTGAGGTCTGTCCTTTCTCTGAAGGGAACGTCCACTGTCGCCCCGGTGAGCCGATTGGCACGGCCTGAAGATCGGCTTGCGCCTGGGGCGACACTCGAGTGTCCGGAACCTGTCAGAGGACACCCCTGGGACTCACAACGTCCCAGTGTGAACCCAAACCCCGAGGCACGAAGAAGGATTTATGGAAAATGGCCTGGCTGCTAGGCCATCTGTGGACCCGTCTAGACTCAGTCAACTCACATTCACTGTTTTCCACCCACCTCACTTTACAGAGAAAGTATTTTACTAAAATGCACATTAGGGGATGTTCTAGCAAGCACCCCCCCCCAACCCCCATCACGTTTTAAACCATTTTCCATGAGAAAGTTAGTTGCCAAGCACACGGGTCACTCAGACCCACTGTCATGGTTATGAGGGTCCATACCTGACGTGGCCCGGTTTTCAAATATACTAATGGAGGAGTGACAGTAAGATCGTCCGTGCGGACACTGGAACGCTGACCTTGTGCCAGCTGCTGGGAATTCTCGAAGGCTACATAGCAGCAGTGTGCCTGAAGGTATTTAATCCTCACTCTGAGTCCCGTGAGGGACTTTCTGTCTTCGTCCCCACCGTGCAGATGGGGCAAGGGAGGCCCCGGATGCTTCCTAACGGGTAGGAGCCGCACAATCAGGCTTCCCCGCCAGGAGTCTGAGTCCGGGGCCCTGTCGTAGCAGCTCTGTCGACTTGCCCCCCACCCCGTGTGCATCTAGAACGCGGTGGGAACTGCGCCATTGGCATTTTATGTGTCAGCCTCGAATCTTCGCATCTTTGTGTTTCCTTCCACTTTAAAACATTTTGCGCTGCACTCAGTTTCGTGAGCTTCCTTGGGGTAGATTTACGCAAAATATGCACAAACATGTGAACAAACAGGTAAGCAGTTTTCCTTGATAGCCTTGACGGTAAATGGTGGCAGGTGGGTTGGATGATGAGCCTAAGAGATACTCAGCTGACGGAGAGCTATCACCGGGAAGTCGTCACAAATGGTTCTGGAACTGCCCGCCACCCCCGTGGACAGCTGAAACCGTACTCGGTATCTTCGAGCACGGACGGTGCATCCAAAACTAACGTTAGTATTCCATGTCCTACGAGACAGCTTTTCTTCTTGACTCTCCTGCTTTGCCGATGGCATCATCAGCGGCAGATC